CGTTGTGGGTGGCTATGTCTCCGGAGCCACTGCGGGGGCAGGGGAGAGTCTGCTGGCACGCGAGGAGGCGAGAACGAGAGTGCATGGTTTTCGAGTTTTTTCTTGTTTTTCACCGATTTTCCTATTTTCTTTCTCTATTTTTACTGGTTTATGTTTTCCTTCCTTTTTGTTTGCTTCTCTACGGTTTTCTTCGTTTATTTCTCGGTTTTCACTAAAAAAATTCTTTCTTTTTCCATCATTTTTCTTCGGTTTTGTTTGCTTTTTTATCAGTTTTTCTCTCAGGTTTTCACCTATTTTTCTATAAACATTTTTGGTATTTTTCTAATACATGTTAACTTTTTCTAATATAAGATTAATATTTATTGATACAAGATTAATATTTTTTATATACCCATTTAGATTTTTCAAATGCTTGATTTCCATTTTTCAAGTAGCAAATTAACATTTTTTGAATAAATGATCAAAACTTTTCCATACATCTAATATTTTTCATATGCTTGTTAACATTTTAAGTTCAAGTTTAACATTTTTTAATACATTGTCAACATCATTTCTATAGATATTAAAAAAATTCAAATAATTGATTCACATTTTACAGATACCAGTTTATTATTTTTTTAATGCATGACCAACATGTTTACTATTCACAATTAACATTTTTTAAATGCTTGATTAACCATTTTCAAATACAATTTTAACATTTTTTAATATGTGTTCAACATTTTCCTATACACATTTAATATTTTTCAAACGCTTAATTAATATTTATTTTGAAAAGTTTTTAAACATTTTTCAGAAGCTTGGATTAACATTTCTACATACATCATCAACTTTTGTCATACACATTATATATTTTTGGTGTAATTTTTCGTATACATGAGAAACATTTTCTCTATACACATTTAAGTTTTTTAAATTCTTGCTTAAAATTTCGGAAATGTTTTATGTAAAGTGATTTTGTATATTTATTTAAAATATTTCAAAGTATGAATGAAAATATCAATTAAAACCAAAAACATTACACGAAATTACGTTTTAGCCTCCCGTGCGTCTGGGCCGGCCATCTTGCGGTCTGCTTGGCACGCGGCTTCCCTCAGTGTCACTTTATATAAGGAGGTAATTGCCGGGAAAATCCTATTGGACGCTCGCTGCGTCGACTTGTCGAGGCTTCGCACAGAGAAGTTAGCGACAGCGATCAAGATGGGCCGGCCCAGTTAGGAGATAGCGCTGCGCTGCAGCTTCCGGTTTTGGGAAACTTCTGGAGGGTTCCTGAACGGTTTTGGGAACCTTCTAGAAGGTTCTTGAACAGGGTTTTCACTGGTTTTTTCTTTTTTCTTTTTCTTTGTTGTTTTTCCTGTTTTTTTCTTTTTCTTTCTTCGTTTTTCTGTTTCTTTATTTCATCTTTCAATTCCTTTTTCTTCTCTTTTTTTTTCTTTTTGTTCACATTTCAAATTATGTTTGGGAGTTTCAAAAAATCTTCCAATTTCAAATTCGCACTTCCAAATTTGTTCCCCATTTCAAAATTTGTTCTCAACATTCAAAAATTGTTCGTGCTTTAAAAAATTGTTCACGCTTCCAAATTTGTTCTCCATTTCAAATTTGTTCGTGCTTTAAAAAATTGTTCGCGCTTCTAAATTTGTTCTCCATTTCAAAATTTGTTCTCAACATTCAAAAACTGTTCGTGCTTTCAAAAATTGTTCACGGTTCCAAATTTGTTCTTCATTTTAAAACTTGTTCTCAACATTCAAAAATTGTTCGTGCTTTCAAAAAGTGTTCGAGCTTCCAAATTTGTTCTCCATTTCAAATTTTGTTCTCAATATCCAAAAAATGTTCGTGCTTTAAGAAATTGTTCGCGCTTCCAAATTTGTTCCCGTGTCAAAAATTGTTCTCAAGATTCAAAAAAAAATGTTCATGCTTTGAAAAAAAATCCATGCTTCCAAGTTTGTTCTCTGTTTCAAATTTTGTTCTCAAGATTAAAATAATGTTCGTTCTTTAAAAAATGTTCATGTTCAAATTTTGTTCTCAAATTTTCTATCTTACAAATTTGTTCTCTGTTTCAAAATTTTTTCTCAAGATTAAAAAAATGTTCGTGCTTTAAAAAATGTTCATGTTCAAATTTTGTTCTCTAAATTCAAAAAATGTTCGGGATTTTAAAAAGTGTTCAGTTTATCAAAAATTTGTTCAAGCCTTTTAGTTTTTCATCTAAAATTTGGAAAGTGTTCGCTTTTTAAGAAACACCTTTTCAAAATAATTTTCGCATTAGGAATTTGAGAAAATGTTCGGGTCTATCGCGATGGTTATGCTCGTTCGTGGAAAGTTGGAGGTCCCTGGTTCGATCCCTCTGTCGAGCAGAGTTTTTTGTGATTTTTTCACTGCGTTGCGCGAATGGGCCGGCCCAGCTGGAGACGCGCCTGTGCGTGGTAATGTTTTTATGCTGCACTGTCGCGCTACAGTAATTGCGCCAGCTAGCCTGCCAATGGGCCGGCCCAGTCGGGGGCTGTCCCCTGTGCGGCGCGTGGAAATTGGACGCAACGCGCGTCGTATAGGAACTCCCGTATTGCCGCGCCGTGATTTTCGTAGGTTGCCGACTCCTTGTCTCCATGTCTAACTCAGTATTACGTCAGCCCAGTTAGACGCCCTTTTTTCCCCTTGGTCTAGGTTTCTTGGTTTTGAGAAGATTTCACTAGTTTTGCTTTCTTATCTCTCTTTTTCTCCCAGTTTTATGGTTTTACTTACTTCTCTTTTACTGGTTTTCCTTTTTATTTTTCCTGATTGTTGTTCTCCTTTTTCTCTCCTTCTTTTTATTTATTTATTCCGTTTTAAATTACCCTTTTTAGAAATAATTTCTGAACTTTCTTTATTGTTGAATATTTTGAAAATGCGGTAACATTTTTCTAATTTATAAATATTTTTAAAGTTTATGGACATTATTTGAAAACAGCACTATAAAAAAATTCTCAAATATTTTATACTTTGTGAAGATATTTTATAATCCTGAACATTCTTAAAGTTTGTTAACGTTTTTTAAGTTCTATGAATATTTCTTAAATTCGTGAACAATTTTAGTTTTGGGAAATCTTTTTTTGGTTGAAATATATTTTTAGAATTCTTGAACTTTATTAAAATTCACCAGTACAGTCAAAACTTCAATCGACAAATATATTTGTGAACAATTTTTCAGAACTTTTTTGAACTCATAAAATCTTGTTAAATTCATCGGACATTTCAAAAAAATCATGAAAATTCTTACAAATGCAAACATTTTAAAAAGGATTTCAAGTTTGTGAACATTTGTAATCTTCATGGTTATTTTTCAGTTAATGAATTCTCTTAATCTATAAACTTGTTTCAAGTATGTGAAGAAACAAAGCTGCTTCAAAATATTGTGTGCTATAGCACCACGTGCTAGTCATCTGAACAGAACCACCCATAGAAAAAGAAACATCATGTTGTCATTGTCCTGCGCCGTAAATTCATGGAGCAAACAAGTGGGCCTAAAGACCAAAACGAACATCCTCGCATTATAGCGACGATTAGGAGCTCCTGAAAAGGGCCTCTATTTAAGCAGTTGGTGCATCATCCAAAGAGCACATCTCAAGTAAAATGCACAGAACCACCACATTCGTGTCACCATTAGCGAAAAACTACCACTTTACGATTTGTAGCATCTTGCACCGCACCGGATTCCTAACAATGGCAAAAAATATTGAGCTATGTTTTGAGCACATTTTGACGTTGCTGAGAAAAAAAACACCGGTTCTGTGGATTTTACAGCACATCTGTCATCCATCTTAAATTCCCCAATCGATTGTGAGCTCTAAAAATCCAGAGCTAGCAAAGCAGTCACGCCATTTTTTGTTCGAGAGCTCAAGGCCCTCTTTTGAGAAAAGAGCTCAAGGCCTCGAGCGACCGGTGATTGGCTATATATCGCAGCCAACCCTATATATGTCATGGCTTGCGAGATGTTGTATTTGCTTAAAATATTTGTGATGAGTAATATTCTCTATTTTTTCAACCAGATTTGTTATCGGTCTATTTTTTGAACTCCATTCACACCAACTAGGAATCCGGGCTCCGCAACTGACATCAAGGCGATGAGTATTACTGGTCTTTTCACACATGATGACCGCAGAAGAAAAAAACACAATAGTAAATGAATCATGGAAAGGTATACATACGCATGTATATACGTGGTGTTTGTTTGTTGGACAAGATGTGATTCGCATTGGTGTTGTTGTGTTTTGCATTGCATTGTGGTGTAAGAGATATGCCCTAGAGATAGGCATATAGATGGCCACATTCATTTCTATTCGCGTTTTAGTAAATGTTTGTTGAAGCATACCGTTTGAAATTGTTAGCAATTATGATACTTACTACAATATAATCATGAAGTGCACAATGAAAATACACTAAAATCTACTGGAAATAATGCATACAATAACCGACGTAATCAACAGGCATCATTAAAAAAGAAATTATACAACAAGCAAAAAAAGCACTACACAACACCATATTAAATATGCTTTAACGCAACATCAGAAAATAGTGGCACCATTAGAGCATCCGAAAAGCATTACGCAATACTAAATTCTATAAAATCCTATTGGTGATTCTCACGATTCTGTTTCTCTCGACTTGCAAACATGTCAGCTCAGGATGCAATCATGCATGAAAAAAAACTTAACATGCAACCACAGGATGATTTTTTTCCATTATACTATATGACATATATTTAGTAAAAAACTCACAACTATACAATACTAAAATACAATAAATAATATATATTTCTCATGTTATTAATCAAAATATTCATGTTCCATACAAGCAAATATCATTGAAATATATATTGCTACTCATTTCGGAAGTAATTAATACGCAGGGTATCATCTAGTATGCTTTATCAAAACAACTAGAAAGCGATAGCACCATTCGGACATCCAAGGCTTTAGAAAAATGCATAAAGAAACAATAGATTAGGTTTTAGGGGAGATGGCATTGACATTAGCCAAGAATTCTTTAAGGCAGTGGTTATAGACACAAGGCCTCTCTAGCTGTGCTAGATGCCCTGCCTTGCTTATGCTTCGCAGCATCGCCTTCTCCCCCAGCTTCCTACACGCATCACATCATTAGTTTTTGTATTTTGCATCTCGGTAGAGGATATGAAGTAGCCAAGGTTGTTGATAGATAGCATATGTGGTTTTCTTACTCTTTTAGCATCTTGGCATTCTCTATGGGAAAGAAGTCGTCATCCTCGCCCCACAACATAAGTATGTTCTGCATGAGTGCAAATCGGATGATATATGAAGCAGTAAACTGATTTTATGTCCATAATGAGATTGCAACACTACTATGTATTTTTTTCCCTCATTCGGAGATGTTCATAGTCTTATTTGTCAAAATTCATGCGTGTGGGCATATTATGGATTGTTGGATATTGTGGTTGTTTTCTTTTTGGAAAAAAAATGTTGAGCTCCCATGCAAGGAAAACATCCAATTTTGCATCGATCAGAGTTCGAGCATAGAAACTTGTCTTTTTTGTTTGTCCCAAACAAGAAAACATTTTGGCTGGTATCTTTGCAGGTTAACATCACATAAGTACTCTTATGTTTAGAATAGTTTCAGATCTTTTTGACGCGGCAGAAATATCTAAAATGATAAAGCATACTGTAAATTATTCATTTGACAAATTTACGTTGCACAAAAAAAATAAAACATTTTGTACACACAGTGGTACTTGTGTGGCGTTGACCTGCAAAGTTTCAAACTCAAATGTTTATCTTCTTGGGATCACCGGAAGGAGAAATTTCTATATAAAAGTAGCATAGATCTTGACGCGAAATCTAGTGAACCGGGGTGGACTACCATGTGTCCTCAAGAAATCCAGTCCTTAAATTTCACGATACAAGTTATGATAATGAAAACAGACATCAGCATGAATAATCGCAAAAAAAACGAGTTTTAAAGTTATAGAAGTGTTGTGAACCTGCTGAAAAACAGGGGCCGATTCTTGTTTGTCCATCATCACGAGTTTTTCCAGCATCTCTTTCCTCTCCTGTCGGTTGGCATACATCACCTGCATCCAATATGTACATGAACACGCATGCATGCAAGATTCTTATGACCCATGCCATCTTAAAGGATGCTTAGATACGTTTTAGTCCCATGATTAAAAGTAGTAGGACTAAAACTTGTTAGCCTCACCCATGCTTGGATCCAAATACTAAAGCGACTAAAATCAAGTTAATGAGCATTTATTATCCTCCAAACCCTTCAATCTAGAACTCACCTGTGTTAAAGGAGAGGAGTTAAATAAGAAGAGTGAGGACTAATCCACATTTTAGTAGGGATATCCCTAACTAAAAAAATTAGTCTCAGGACTAGTTTTAGCCCCCTCTTTAGTCAGGGGTGCTTGGAACTTTAGCCTCTTAAAAAAACTATTTTTAGTCAGACTAAAATAAGTCCCTTGGATCCAAGCACCCTCTTGATTTACATTCTCGGTTGTACAAAGTTCTATACTTCTACATTAATATCCGAGCTTTAGTAATAACCGAACTTATAAAAATTGAGTTATATGACACAAAGGATGGCACATTTACTGTAACATATTTTTTTAGTACCTCAAATCAAATACTACATCATATATGTTGTTAGTTTGTTACTGACCTTGAGGAAATCGCTGAGAAGGCGGTCGGGAAACCAGAGCTTCTTGTACATGGCGTCGGAGAAGAGCGACCTCAGCCGCGCGACCGAGTCCGGCAGCAACAGCTCCGCGAGCGTCCCGGCGCCGAACTTCTCTAGCATTGCGTCGTTCATGGCGCCCGTGTAGGCCACGTCGGCGCCAGACACGACCACGGACCCGACGAGGCCCGGGTGCACCGCGGCCATCTCGAACGCCACGAACCCGCCGTAGCTGAACCCGACGACGGTGCACCCCGCCCCCACGTCGAGCTTCCGCAGCGCCGCGGCCAAGCACCGCGCCTGGAACGCCACGGAGCGGTCGGGGGACGGCGACGTGGAGCCGCCGAAGTGGACCAGGTCGGGGACGTAGACGTCGTAGCCGCACCCGGCGAGGGCGCCCACCTGGAACCCCCACGTCATCATGCCGTCGCCGGCGAAGCCGTGCAGGAGCACTACGGCGTGCCTGCTGGTGGTCTGCTTCTCTCTCTGGTCCGCGGCGGCGGCTCCTGATCTGGCCATCTTGTGCTGGGGCAGCCAGAAGCTGAGGACGGTGCCGGCGTCGTCGTCCACGGCCACGGCGTGCTGCCGGAGGCCGGCGTTGGTGGCCAGCCGGGCCACCAAGTGCTCCCTCACCACCTGCACCCAGTTCACCATCCTAGCCTAGCCAGTCGGCCAGCCTTGCTTGATTGGTTATGGCGGGTTGCAGGGGCGTACCCATGTTGAGCCACCCGGGTGCACAGGACACCGGGTGCAGGAATTTTTCTTTGTAAATTTAATGCAAACTATGGTGAAGGACACCCCATTCTTAGATGAATATTGTGAGTGATTATATGATGGGACACCAGATCATTTTCTCTCTAGGTCCGCCCCTGGCGGGTTGGGTGGCACGCAGCTCAATTTGTATTGGCAAGGCAACGACGACCGGAAGGCACCGAGGCCCATGCATGCATGCCCATGCCGCTCATTTATGACAGTGCATGACCGGCCATCCAGGTTCATACGCTGCAGGCAGTAGTGGCACTGCGGTACGTCGTGTCCCCATGTTGCTTGACGTACGTCGAGGGACCGCCGGACCGGCCACTTGCGGCATCGGAATCCAGCTCTATATATACAGTAAGTTGTTGCACTGCTGTTTGAGTAGTCATTTAGGTGGGCCGAACCTCCCAACACGCCGACGCTTAGCGTAGCAGGGTCTGTACATAACTCCATCAAGAACAATGGCCGCCCGCCGAGCCTGCTCGTTACTGCGACCGTGCCGTCGAAGCTAAGCTTGACAAGCCCATGGCAATCAGGCCATGGGG